TTTCTTTCACATTGGTATCCATTTTCTAGGTCTAGCCTTTATAGTAGTACTGTCAAAGATCTGTGTTACCTCTTTACTCAGGTCTTCCCAAGTGGGCTCCAGTTTTTCCAGTTCACAGATTTACATGGTCATGAGGACTTATCTTGTGTTTGCACTATCCGATGCCAGTTTGCATTTCTCTGTATAACTTCAACATTGACAGATGCCCTTTAACCTGCCAGTTATCTGATATAACCATGTTACAGATACTGATCACAACTGATCAATGGATTGCCATTGGTGTAGTATCAGACACAAGGACTTATCTTGGGTTTGCACTGCTTGATGCCAGTTTGCATTCTTCTGAGTAACTCAAACATTGCACAGATGCCTATAGTACCAATATACATAAGTGGTTTTTCAAATTTTTTACCATCGGTAGGTTTTGAACTCCCAACCTACCACTTGGAAGGTTGACAACTTATCCACTTCACTAAGTCACCACAGCCTTCTTATTATTTTTTAATAATTATAATAATTGATGTAGTAACCAGGTATTGCTATTAATTAAATAAAACTCTAATTGTTATAAAGTTGCTAATTCATCGAATAATTTGATTTTTTTTTTATATGCAGATTATTTTACTTTAAAATTGAAATTATAAAGAGAATATCCTTTTACTATTAAGATATATATATTTTGGGTATCTGTTAAATAAAATAATTTTATATAATCTTCGAAAAAAATTTATAATTAAAGAATTTATATCAATTTAAATAATAAATATCTAATAGGCAATCTATTAAACAATTAACTATATTATTTTTAAAGTAAAAGATTTGATAATAATAATATTAAATTGCATATTTCAGTAAGTCAGTCTAATAGATTAGATGATAATCTAATAGATTTAATGCATATTCATTAAATTATTCTTGCAGAATAGTGCAGAATAGATTCTCAATAAATTGAAACAATCACAATTATATTACTCTAATCATTCATTAAACAAATCAAATAAGAGGTCTGGATTAAATTTAGTAACTCTATTCAGGATCTAATAAAACCAATTATACTATATACTATAATTTGATAATGTGCAAGACTTATATTTTATACAATATATTCTAAACTGATCTTGTAATAATTTTTTAACTGGTTATTTAAATAAGTATTTGCTAAACAATATTAAGCTATTTGTAGTATCTAAAATAGCACTATTTTTGCTAAATTGCTACAAATAGCTAGCTACATTGTTTTTGTACTAAGATGTGCCATTTGCTATACATGCAATAATTATAAGACATTACTTTGTCTGTGAACAATTAACAACTTTTGAATTTATAGATACATACATATATTAACTGAATTCCAATCAGAGGTATATTAAATACATCATATTAAAATTTTATATATATCTATTGTTGAAATGATTAAATATTAATATGTATTAAGAAAGATACTGCAATGGGTAAACAGTGAGTCTGTCACTTCTTCGAACTAGACATCACGTAATGGTATAAAAATCAGCGGGACAAGGCTTCGAGGCATGAGGTTTGATTTGGTAAGTATTTTGTTTATTTTATTTAGTACTTTTCTTTTTATCATTTAATATATTATCTAACTATCCTATAAACTATTAATTTTTATTATTAGGATAGCTTCGATCTTTCTTCTACTACTTGGGAATGCCAAAAGATAAGTATTTTATTAAACTTTCATTTGCTTTTTATACATTTTAGCAGATACTAACAACCTTTTTATTTAATTTAGCTTGCCTTCCTACTTTTCCATCATTTCGCCACTATGCAGCTGTATCATCACAGGTTTTACTAGACTGGGTAAGTGTTGTATTCTAAATTGTTTCACTTTTACTTTACTCTATTACAAGTATACTAACTTGTCCCCTTAATATTTGAATTCTGTCTCTCTGGAACATAGCCGCCATGGTCTAAATGCCTTTCCTAATTCAGGTACAAGCATCTTGTCTTGTGTTTCTTGGCATGGGAGCCTGATTGTACATATTTCTCTGTTTCTGGAGGGTTAATAATATATGCACAATCCATGAGTCCCAATTGTTGTTCATGCTATGTATCATTATACATAAATTGTTACATTTTTCTGGCCTATGACAATACTTTAAACAAAAATAAGTGATACAGTAAATGACCACTGTTCATTATATTGTTATAATTGCTAGGTTTACTAATTTTACTAGCTATTACAATGAATTATCTATAAAAATTATAGGTCATATGAGTAATGCCATCTGCAGCAATTGTAACAGACAAATCAATACTAGATCTGTAGTGCTGCTACAATTGCTGCAAGTGGTGCTACTCACATGACCTGTAATTTTTATAGCTATACTAAATAATTTTATTATGACTATTAATAATTAGACACTTTACTAAAATTAGTTAATAATAAGTTAGCTAGTGTGGTCTTCAAAGTGCTAGTGACATAAGATCAATTAGTGTAACTTAATGGTTCTCTTCTAGTTACAAATTGTAGATTACTTTTTTTTAAATAGCAATTGTTTATATTCAAATATTGCAATATATACAGTATATACTGTACTATTATTATATTACTGAACTTTGGAAAGGCTATCCTGACTAACTTATTAATAATAGATGAAAAGAATTATTGTATGATTTTTAAAAGCCATTTTCTTGAAAAAACATAATACTAACTAAATTGGCTAACAATATCTTTTAGGAAAATAGTTTTCAAGAATCATACCATAACTGATTCTCTTAATATATTTTTTATATAACTAAAAATAAACAATATTTTTTATCAAATTATTGCAGTTATTACAAATCAACTACTATTTTTCAGATAAGCTATCAAACATTGCATTTATATTATTGATCTTTAAAAAGTAATTTCAGCATTATATATATTATTGTATAAAAAATTTTACCTGAAACTTCATCTTTGCTACCTCTAAGTAAAAGTTTAAATTATATGAAATTTTTGTAATATTATAAATTGTTGAAAGTTAATTAATCAAAGATAAAGTCTCTGCTATATATAATAAAATTATAAATGAAGACAGTATAATTTTTAAAGTATAAGTTATGCAATTACTTTTATAAAATAAAAAAGAAATTCAGATCAGCAAAAAAAAAATGAATAAAATCAAAAACTGATGTAATAAACCTATCTTGAGATTGGAATATATATATTTTAAAGTAAAATTAACTTTCTAGTTCTGACTATTCTCAAGACTGTAGATTGCATGCTATCAAGAAAACAAAAATTACTGTTTGCCACTGATCTAGAGGTTTTATTTAAGGATTTTATTTTTAAAATTGACTAGTACTAGGTACTATTCACAAATTTAACAATCTTATTGATGAAGAAGAAGGTGTTAGAATATTATCTTCAATAATACTCTATTTGGTAGCAAATAGTAATAATGATAATATATTCTTAATTCAAATTGGTTACATATAATTAATTTTTATTGATCAGTTTAAATTTCATGTGATAAGTAATTTTATAAAAAATAGTTTTAAATTAGTGATTAATGAAAAATTGTGATAATGATTATAAAGCAATTGTGACTATATAGAAAGTAAAATAATATTATAATAAATTGGTAAATTTATAAATGTAATTATATTAATTTTGTAACTATACTATAAAGAGATCTGACTGTATAAGAAATATAATACATAAGCTACATTTGTTAATTGGCTATGTAGTTCAATAATTATCTATATATTGATGTTATATGCTAACAATATAATTTTTGATTAGTTAATTATTATATAAAAATCTTGTGTTCTTCTGAAAATACAAAAATCCTTTCTATTATATTCTACAACATCCTGCATATTCTTTATTTAATGCTTGTCACATTTTTAATCCTTTATATATTAGAATATGAAACCAAATAGTTGATATTTTTCTTATAAGAATCTTTATCAATACTAAGATTAATAATTTATTACATGAGTTTTATAGAATGAGTAATTGTAGATCTGTAAATGGATTAGTTGAAAAAAAAGTAATCTTTATAATTATTAAATGAAAATGAAAGCAATTTTATCAGTTTTATCAAATATTGCACAAAATTATATATGGTTTCCAGTATAGAACACAACTTTTTAATGCATAATAATATTTTAAATAGTAATTATCAGAATCTTTCACTTGATTCTTTAAAGCAATTAAACATGTTATATTTTAATGATGACTAACTTAGATTGTTTAAATAAATAAAATATATTTCCACAATATGTTTTTTAGCACTAAACTAGCACAAAATTGCGCAGAAATCATTATTTTTATCACAGATTTTCACAAAATATGCTAAAAACACATTACATCACAGAATTTTAATTAACCACACGCAGAATTTGATTTTATTCATCGCAGAAAATCATCGTCCCTGATCGAAGGCCGTGTTTAAATTAATGGTTTTACTTTGAAATGAAGTTATAAAAGATATGTGAATTACGTTTTGTTGATTGGCTGCTTGAGTTCAGCAAAAGTGACATCATGTGATTAGTCGATTACTTCATGATCAAATCCTTTTCCAAAAATTGAGAAAGTCTTCCTTAATTAATCGCAGTACGTAAGTACATATGTACCGTGCGTTTGTACCGATAACACCTCGTACATATTATGTATATTACTACTAGTTGGCCATCTTTTTAATTTATTCATAAATCTACGAAAGTTTTCATTTTTATATATCTATACGTAGTAGTATAATCACATTATTTCTATTTATTAAAATTAATCAAATAATATGTTCATCAAAAAATGAAAAAAAATTCTATACAAAAAGTTCGTTGCTGTCTAATAAAATAACTTATCTATTTGATATAAAAGCGTTAGAATAATCAATTTTTTATTAAAATTATTTAAATTTTTTTTTTTTTAAAAAAAAAAAAAACTTCATCTTATACCAACACAATTATTATGACCAATTTTTTTTTTTTTTAATAAATATGTTAGGATATAAACCTAATAATAACATTAATAAACATAATAAATTAACTTAATATCCAGCTGCTAATCCATTTTTCCTATAATCACTTGCAGCTATATACGTTTATTGAAAAGAAAAATTATATAGTTAATTGAAATTTATTTTTTCGATGAAATTAAAAACCTTCTTTTTTTTTGATATTTTTGCTTACCATGAATAGTTCCATTTTTAAATTTTCGAACTATTTGAACTTGACATGAATATCTTCTATCATAAACATTATGTAATTGTATCTACAATAAATAAAATATATATTAAATATAAATAGATCAAAAACAATTAAAAAAAAATTATAATAATAGATTTTACGAAAAACACTTACGACATGACCAATATTCAGCAAATCATTAATCAATTCATAATCGAACCCAGATTCCATTTCCAACTAATTTAAGATTTTAAATTAATTAATAAAAGTCCAAATACGAAAATAAATTAATCAAACGAGAGTGAATACATACCACATTTGGTAATAGTTGTTGGTGAACTCTGGGTGAATTAACAGCAGATAAAACGTCCATATCAAAATCATATACATTTGTCAACACCTATAGATTTTTACAGTAAAAATTTTATATAAAAATATGTATAAAAAGTTTTTATGTAGATTGAATAATTTTATTTAAATTACCTGCAAGACGGCAGTAAGAATTCTTGTACCACCACTACCACCAAGTACCAATTCCAATTCTCCATCTTCATTTTCAACTATTGATGGAACTGTTGATGACAGAGGCCTCTTTCCAGGTGCTAAATAAAAGAACCATTTTTAGTAAAGTTCACTTCAAATTAATAGTTGGCGGTAAATTTAATTTACGACAGTCCGAATTGTAGAATTTCCGTAATACGTATTAATTGCGCAATTCAATAAGGAAATGTTGTAATAAAATATGAAAATGATGTCAAATTGCAACAATGCACAATTAAGTAATTTTGCCAACAACTATACTTAAATTAGTATATGGTTGTGTTCCAAACGGCTGAATTATGGATAAACCTAAATCCGACACTTTCAATTCGGGTCGATCCTTCTATTATATTATTTTTACTATCCTTATTTCGGATCTGTCCGTTCGGAACATTAGTATATGAAAATGATCTAACTTACCAACAAAATTGTATGGCGAAGGCCATAATCCAAAAATATTTGGTTCACCGGGAACTGCAAAATCATTCATTTCATTATTAAGAATTATACCTGTGTTACTATCTAAAACACGTGCTCCCCAAATTTGATTGACCTATTAAAATATTTGTAAGAATATAAATAATATAATTAGGAAGAAGGAATAGTAGCAAGCAATAATTACCGTAGAAGTAAAGGACACTGCCATATTATTAACATCAATAGAAGACATGTGAGTTGTTCCATGATCTTCGCCAAAATCAAAAATTGGATCATAATAGTTTGGATTATATGTGCGAGTCTATTAAAAATATCGGATTAATAATATACTATTGAAAAAAAATTTTTTTTGACCAAATTATCCTTAGTTAAATACTAAGGTCCTCACCTCTGAAACATTATGCCGTACACGTGCGGCAAATTCTTTAGACATAATTTCTTTTACACGATCATTGTGTTCTTTTTGATTTTCGAACTACATTTCCAAATGAATCATATAATCCAAATTCCAATATTAATTCAGATAATATAATAATTTCATTAATTTAATAATTTATTAAATAATTTCGTTAATAATTTTGTTAATAATTTTGGTAATAATTCAGATGATAATTCAAATATTATTTAGTAAACTTACAAATGCGGGATCAGCCATTTCAGTACGGCGGGCAAAACCAACTAGATAAGAAAATTTTATAATGTTATTATATCACTTGAATTACAACTCATAGTCCTTTCTTTTTTTTAATATAAAAAGAAAATTTTACATTTTATCGTTTCAACAATTCTAAATGTACAAAAGAAAAAAAATACATTACAAAAAGGGTCGATAATAAAATAATAAAATAATAAATAAATAAAGTAATCACCTTTGGAGATTAATGCCATTAAGTCCATTTTGAGACATGTTATATCCTTCCAACAAGTTCAACATGAATATTAATGCAGGTCCACTTGTAGGTTCTGGTGGTGCTATTATCTGTAATTAACATTAGAAAATTTTCAATATAAACTCCATCATTAAAAAAATATATATAAAACTATAACCCACTTTTCGTCCATGATAATATCCAATTACGGGTTCACGAACTATAGGTCGATAATCAACAAAATCTTCAAAAGTTATGTTTCCACCCTGAGCATTGATTTCTTTGACCAATGATTTTGCGATATAACCCTAAATTTATATATATAATATATATATTTAAGCATAAATATAACTATAAAGGATATAATAAATGATATTTATTTACTTCGTAAAATTCGGTATAGTTATTGGCAATAGCCTCCAAAGTGTTTGAAAAATTAAGTCGATATAACATGTCTCCTTCGGTCAATAATTTTCCTTTTGGTGCATAAATAGCACGATATGATGGAATGGTCAACATCACTTTCCTATATGACTATAAAATAAATTGTCAAATTAATTAACTTTATTATTTATTAAAACTTACATTAATGATGGTAATAATTATTACCTTTAATCGCAAAGCTAATTCGGGAGGTACAGGGAATCCATAACGACTTAATTTAATTGATGGCTCAAAAAGTCGTTTCCACGGTAATTTCCCATATCTAAATTATTATTAAAATATATATGTGGTTATTTGGCGTGCAAAATTACCCTTAACGAAGAAATTACTCTTAACGAAGAAATAATATTTACTTTTCATGTGCAAGTTTCATTCCACGAACTTCACCACTAATAATAAATAATAAATAAATAAATAATTAATTAAATTAAATAGTTTTTTTTAAAAAAAAATTATAGAATTAAAAACAAAGGATTTAAATCACTCACGGGACGCCAATAGCGAGCCCACCGATCGCAGACCAAGTATGATTCTTTTTATACATATCAGGTCTAGAAGATTTTGGAGCAATTTCACGGCAATCAATAAATTCAGCAGTTCCATTAGGTAAACGGATCATCATTAAGCCACCACTAAAAACGAAACCGAAAACGAAAACAATATCAATGAATGAACTTTCAAAAAGAAAAATAATATATTATGTAAGCAGGCCATACCCTCCAATTCCAGCAGAAAATGCATTGATTGTTCCAACACATATTTGAGTTGCAATCACAGCATCAACAGCAGATCCGCCCTCTTTCAAAACTATAATTTGCAAAAGTCAATATATAAAAATGCCATGTTAAAAAAAAATAATTAAAGATAATAAAATAAAGTCGCAAAATTAAAATACCATCAACTCCAATAACAGAGCAATTCACTAATTCCGAAGCAACGGCACCATGTTTAGCGACAATAAGACCAGAATCGTTATCAATTATATCATCAATGACTAATATGTATTGGAAACAAATTCAAGGCACGATCTTAAGATTTAATTTTAAATAGAGGAATAGTATATCCACTTATATTATTAAATTGTTATGACTTTCTTTTTAAATTTTATTTTCCTTTAAAGAAGATATAACTGTTTAAAATATATAAATTTAAGAAATTTCATCGATTCGTCCCAGAGCCTATGAGGATCCGTCTTTATAAATTCCAGCTCATTGAGTGCGTGAGAGTGAAAACCTGGAAACCGATCATAGTAAATAATTAAATCGGTTTCCAGGTTTTCACTCTCACGCACTCTTATGAAAAATTTTCTGATGATCGAATCGATATATCGTCGACATCAGAAACTTTTCAATTCGTTTATCAGTATATATGAGCTTAATGAGATCGGACTAGCTCTTTACTAGCCCTATCAATATTGGAAAAATATATAACATATTAAAAGCACTATTATCATAAGTAGTTATGCGTCAGATTCAATGTATATATATGTTGAATCGAATTAAAAGATCGATTCTAATGAATTTTTAATAACCCTATAGGCCTAACAGTCCGTCCAGGACCAATTTTTTATAGGATCAATGCAACCTTAGAATAGTTAATTATTTAAAGTAATTAACGGTTAATTATTTGAAATTTAAAATAATTAATGGTGAATTATTTTAAAATTAAAATAATTATCGGTTAATTATTTACAATTTAACTAATAAAGTGGATATTTCTAGTATAGTTTGTATAATAAAAAAGGAATGAAACATACCTTTATTCACAGGAAACGAAACAAAGATAAAACCAAATAAAAGTCCAATACATACTATTAAAGTAAGAGCTTTCAATAAAGAGCGAAACCATGGTTTAATAAAATCGGCCCGACGACCACTTTCAACGTCTCCAATAGAATGATAATTAGTCATAATAGAGTGAGTATAATAAATCTATAATTATTTAACCCTGAATTATTGGAGAATTTTCGTCAGAATAAATGATGTAAATTTGTTCAAGAATTAAGAGGGCGGGCTTTATATAAGCAACGAAAGGAAGTGATTGCCACGAAAGTAAGGAACAAATGAAGTAAACGATGAAAAAGATGAAAATTAAGGGGCACGAACATATTAATATTTATAGCGATCTTGTTGATCAAAAAAAAAAGTGACATCCGGAAATTTATACTCGCTTTATTTCTCCCCGATAATTTTGGTATTATTAATATATTAATGATAATTGAATTACCTAACCGGTAATAGAAAAACCGTGTCGTGTGACCTAATGACCAAGTAATATGTATGCTCCCTAAGAAACAAACAACTCGTGACGACATATTGTAACGCATACATGTTCTATTGTTTGATAATGGCTTCTGACAATCGCAGTGTAATTGTTTATCTTTTTTTTATTTATACTAGTTAGTAATCAAGAAAAGCATGTGATAACTTGGTGTTTCCTTTTCAAGATTTTAATCGGTCGAGTGACCATTCGCCTATTGGCCAATTCTTTTAGAGTAACGTACGTAATGTTAAGAGTGGAAATATTCAAGTATCCCACGAAAGTTCAAATGTGATACATATGATGCATTCTTGCATATCGATTCGATGTAACCTATTGCAGTATTGTAGGAAAGGCAACGGTTTTTTTCACTAAATGAATAAATTATATAATCGATTTATCGATATATAATTTACAGATACGATATAAAATGAAAAATGGATTTTACTATTTTTGGCTAACATTCCGCGCATATCCGATATAACATAAGCCTACACATTTCCGGTATAATCTTATTTAATCTTTTGCAGATTTCGAGGCTGATTTTTTGATCATGAGGATAACCTACACTTATTTCATTTTATTTCTTTATTCGTAAATAATAAAAATTTATTATATTATTTGTATATTTAATATTTATTATCGTTATTATTACGTTACATTACATTACTGCATTATACAAAAATTATTTGGTACGTATTCGAATTACAAAATTCGATGTTAGAACGAATTTATTCTTAATTCTTAAACATTTACTTACGTACATACAAATAGTAATGCACTAAAGTAATATAAGTAAATAATTGTCTATCAGTATTACATTCTGATAATGATTGCATATGAAAAACATGAATATCTTTGTCAGCTACATTATTCTATGTCATTCTATGCCATTCTATATCTTTCTAATGTCACTAATTAATGTCACCATTAATGCAATATTTTTTCACTAGTTTCCATTAATGACCATTAATGTTAATCTATTCAATAACGTTCCCAAAAAGCCCACCCCACACATCTTCAAGGTTCTTATAAACACTTCCAATCGAACAGATCGCTGATAATACATTATCGAATGTAGTGATACAGATAAAAATAATCAACGGTGGGATGCATAATACTATCGAAGTAATAATGATGTAAATACTTCCAATTGCCGAAATTACCATACAACTTAAAAGTATTGTGAGCGCCAAAATCATAGAGGGAATTGATTGGAAAATCAAGAGGATATAGATTAACCAGCGAAGAGGTGGGAAGTTGCTCCATAGGTTTGATAATGAATCTGATTGTGCATCTAATTGATTTTTATTTATGGTATTTTGATGTTCTGATTCACAATGAGATAAAGGTTCATAAAGGTCTTGGCGTAATGGCTGTGTGTCAATCATTTGTAAAAATGTCTTGTAAATTTTTTTTTGGTGTAAATTACTATTTTCTTTTCAATGAAAATTAAATGCATTTTTATAAAAATCTTTAAAATTTGTTATAAATTAAATTTTCATTCTTTAATTCATCCTCTTTGTCGAAATTAATTATTCATTCATCTAATTCGTTTACATTTATCAAAATTAAAATGTTCATTCATTTGATTCATTCATTTCATTCATCTGATTAATGAGATATATTAGTTATATTAAGTACGATGATATCTTAGATTAATGAATTTTCATTACGTAATCGATTACTATCGCTATATGCTGCATCTATCTCAATTAATTCGTTATCGTTATCGCTATCGCTATATCAATATGGAATATAACATGGCTCTTTATAGAATTAATAATTAAAAAATTCTTAAAGAAACTCGATGGATAGAAATTCGAATGATAGAATTTAGAAGACAGAATTTGAAAGACAGAATTCAAGAGGTGACTGATCGCTGAACTCTAGGAAGTTATTTCTGAAAGTGGTTATAAAATTTTCGATCATCTAATCGGTTGTATCCTAAATTATAAGCGCACATATCGATATAGAGATAGCTTAGCACGTCTGAAATATGTCGATCACCAACTCGAAAGAGCAGAATTAAGCGCAGGCTTTAATTTACTTGATATTCGATATTTAAATGTATTAATATAACTAAAATTTCGTGCTAAAAATATTTATTTAGAAATAAAACTGTGGTTGTCATAGTAAAATCTTGAATTATTTGCGATTTTTTCTGTTTTTCTCTAAATTTTAAGTTACACATGATCTTGTGCTTTTATTTGACCCTGTAATTTTGGTGTAACGTGATAGTCAAAACAAATTTGGTTTGTGTAAAATCAAATCTAATAAACCGCGTTATGGTTATTAGTAGAATTTTACGAGAAAATTTTTTAATTAGGCCGCAGAAAATAGCTTCCTAATAAAAATTTAGAACTATTCCTGTTTCTTGTAGGTCCGTTTCAATTTTTATGTTACGCCTGATCTTAAAATTCGATTGGTCAAAATTACAGTTTTGTAAAACAGCTAAGAGCTATACCAAAATAAGAACTGATTAATAAATTTACTTAATAAAATTAAAATTTAATTATTTTTTTTATTGCTAAGGTTGCACTCTTTGGTTGCAAGTTATATTCATTCTAATTTTGGTAATTTATTTTTTTAAAAATAAGCTACTTTCTAAACTAAGCTACATTTATAATAAGTTACTTTTTACTTTTAATTCAAAAATTCAAAAATCTAATTAATATGTAGTTAAATTAACTTTTACTAAGCAATTTAACTTTAAATTCTTATATAAAATTGTTTAAACCTTACCGTTAATATTTAAAAAATAAAAAAATAAATTGTTTAAAAAATTAAAATATATTTTTTAAAATTTTTATATAAATTAAAAAATTGTTTATTAATTAGTTTTTATATTTTATATTTAATAAAGATTTATATTTATTAATATAAAAATTTGGTTTTATTAAAATATGTTAGGTTTAATATTATACCAATTTTTACTATAATATAAAATTAAAGATAAAGTTTACTATTTTAAAAAACAATTATTATCAATTATCAATCTAGACTAATAAATTTTCAATTACAACTACCTCATACTAATTCTATTTCATTCACTACCAGACACTACAAACATGTACCAAAATTTTAAATAATTATCTATAATTATAGCAATAACAATATTATTATATACAAAGCAAGAAAATATAACCAAATAGAAGATACAATATTTATAACATATTAGTTAATTGATTTTAATACTTCATATACTGAACTATACCTTCTAGTTAATTATACTTACAAACAATATACAAAATATTATTTTAACTCTAATTATATACAAAACATATATATATTTAATATTTTTACTAACTTTATAACTAACTTTCTAGAAAGAAAAGTTAACATCAACTTTTTCAATATATTAAATCTTTATACAAATCTACTTGATTTATTATTTTTTATTATATTTTAAAATCCTATAATAATATTTACACAATTTAATATTATAATATATAATAATATTATATTTAATATTTTATATAAAACTAAATTGTAGAATATGACAACTTAGTAAAATAAATAAGCTGTTAATCTCTTAAGTAGTAGGTTAAATGTTTTTTTTATATTATTTTTTGTTATTCTAAAGGTTTTTAGATACATTTAGAATCTGTTACAAACTGAATACAATATTTAGTATCAGATGCAAATCATTAACACTTTCCGACATTCACTTGTACCAAACTCTGCTGCAAACATTTGATTATTATTCAATATTTTATTAAGTAACCTACTCTTGGACACCTAAATAAAGTTGTTCCTAACATAATATTACACTTAGGTGGCTTAGTTATATATCTCTGAACCTCTTATTTACTAGGATATTTTTATTAAATATAAAAATACTTCTATTCATGTTATCTTAAAATTTACTAATTAAACAACTCTTGTATCTTAGAACAAAAAGAAAAAGCTCATTCATAGCTTCATTTTGATATAACATTCATCAAAAATGGCCTAAAACTGATCAACTTATTGGCAAAATACACTTAAACTCTCTTGCAAAATTTTCTTTTATTTTTTGCAAATTTTTTTTTTTTATTTTTTGGGGGGCTGCCTCTGGTCTACCCCATCCAAACCTGTCCAAAACAGGATTACTAATCAATATTACACAATTTATTAATTACAAATTTGTACTTTTACAATTTTATACAACTTTT